AGTGCCCGAGAAGATCCAACATGGATTCCTAGGTTGAGGGTCACAAACGCCATCTTGGTTGCCCCCAATTCCCAATGTAAACACTGTCATAACAGTATATTTTAATGAGGTGGAATAATTAAATCTCACACAAACAAAACACCCTAACAGTCAGGACTATGCTCCCGGTCTGTGTGTTTGCACAGCCCTCAGCAAGGTGAGCTTGAGCCTGATGGGGCTTCTTGGGCACTGATGTAATATCAATTACACATGAATGTTACATAAAGAGAACATGAAAGATGCGTAGTCAAGCACTCAAAAGTTAGAAAATGCCATATTTAAAGTTGCTGTGCACCCTCCATTCTGCCTGGGCATTGTGATAACAGTCTTTGATTACGTGATCACATACTATTTTTTCCAGAGGACGTCCACCTCATTCAGTGCACAGACCAGGCTTATGCTGGGGGGTGAATCAGGGCTGTGTAATAAGGGAGATTGTTATAGGAACATTTGTTGCACAAGTTGTCAGGTGTGACCGGAATGAGGCAGAACACTCCAGAAAGAACAAGAGTGGTCTCCTGGTGAAGGCAGTTGAATGCTGCCCTGCAGAATTAGATTTTATCCCTTCCTCTGCCACAGAGCTCTTATGTGATGCTGGGCAAGTCACTTAAACCAAACATTTACCAACTGGTCACTAATTGTGCCTCATTTTCTGATTCTACCTGAGGCTGTAGGGTCTGATTTGCACAAGTACTGCGCATTCACACCTACAACTGAAGTCAATAGGATCTGTGCTTTGGACATATAAACTGCTATCTCCCCCTCCAATCATGCTGTTCAAATCTCAGTCTCCCTTCACCTTACATCAAATCATAGACTCCTTGCCCAGTGTCTCCTTGTTCCCAAGTCCTGGTCTGTATCCCATCGGTCTCTCTCCTTCCCCCACTGCCTCTCTCCTAAACTTGGTCTCTGGCCCCTCATTCAAACTCCTTCTTCCCTCAGCTCCCTTCCCTGCCCCTTGCTCCAGCCTCGTTGCCCAAAACTGTCCCAGTTCCTTCTTTTCCATCATCCAGCACCTCATCTGATTTCAAAGTTCCCTCTTGGCCAGCTTCTAGGCTCCCCTTCAATCCCAGATCCCAATCCCTCCTCTTGTCCCAGATTCACCACACCTGTTCTCTCAATCTACTTCTTTCCCACCCCTGGTCCGGATTTTGTCCTCAAACTGGTTTCTCCTCCATACTGTCTAGAGGCCAGCCAGGGAGGAGGGCACTAAAGGGGTGGGGAGTGAGCAGAGCCCACTGGTCCAGTGTTGTAAGTAGCCGTTTCAGGGAAATTCTGGCTTTTCCCCTGTAGCCCTGGATTGACGGGCGTATGCCCAGTCTCTGTGAGGAGTTGGTGACTGAGCTGTCTGATCAGTTATAATGAGCTGTGAAAAGCTCAAGCATGCTCAGTAAGGACAGAATCTTCAGAGCTTTTAGGCGTGACGCTTCAGCAAGTCACTACTGCGGGTGAGAGACTGATAACTTGGTCCCATTTGGGCAGATTTTTATGAGGATGCCAAAAGGGCAGATGACCAGTTCAAAGACCATGTTTCAAATCCCTGCTCCAAAGCAAGTGAGCACTAAAATGGTTCAAAGAAAAAGTTACCAGAAGTTGATGTGGGTTTTTTTTATGGGCAAAACAAAGGAGTTTTCCCTAGCTTCATTCTCAAAACCAGTAGAACTACTCTGGCTGATGTGTTCCTGAAAACTTCATTTTCAGACAGACACCTGCATCATGGGAAAAAATTCAGTCCAAACATTCAAGTCTGGGAAAGTTAAAAGCAGCTGAAGACAGGGTCTTGCAATGGGAATTGACAGGCAACCTTAATAGTAGGTGATGCTACCAGTGCTGCCTATAATAGTGATTACCTCACGTTTATATGCCCTCTGGTTTTTCTCATCAACATACTTTTCTTTTCCACTAAAGGGATCTGGAACGTTACAATCATTTTCTGAATCATTTGCCCACTGTTACCAACCTAATTGTTTTACATGAATGCTAATATTTCCTTCTCACACACATCTATATCCATCAGCTAAATCAGCAGTAAAGTTAATTCTGCTGGGATACATTTCTATATCAATTAGCAGGGATTTATGCACCAAAGCCCCATTAGCGTTAATGGAAGTATGCTCTTTAGCATAAACAAGTTGGTTATAGGTCTGGTGGACCTTGTCGTAGAAATAAACATGCATCCAACTCACATTGTTGTCATTTGGAAGAAATCTTCAGAGAGCGATGTCCTAGTCTGAGCTGGCTGCTGTTGGAATACCTTCAAGCACAGCATGTGAATACATTCCTGGGTTACTGGTGAAACGTGTGAGATCAACTTGGAGAGACTGGACCCTTGGAGTCACTGTCAGTGTAAAGTTTGTGGGTATTTTTGCTGAGAACAAAATAGATTTTCTCAGTATTCCTAATCAATACGCCACGGACAACCCTGGTAATTTCTGATTACCAGAACATCTCCCCATTAACACACCCTGGGTAAAATTTCAAGACGCACCTCCATCACTTTGTACTCTCTAGCACACATTGCCTATTGGAAAGCTGTAAGGGCCCTAAGCTTCAATGTGAAGGGTCTATGCTTTGGTGATGAAAGTCTAGAGCTCAAACCCTACTGATGACCTAGGATGAGGATTATTCCATATGCTTTGTTCAATTTCCCATGGGCGTCTGTCCACCAGAGAAACAGCTGCTAGTCATGTACCTTCCAGGGGAACCTAAGGCCTAGGAGTCAAATGTGGCCCGAGTTTGCCTGGATTCACCCCTCCCCCCTTCAGAGTCAGCCCCCCCCCGATGTGGCTTTCTCCTTCTTAGTTGGGGGCCACATCAGTGAGGGTTTGGGGGGGGTTGGGGTTTTTTTTGTTTGTTTCTCACTTGTGCGCAGCCCCTGACTAATTTTTCTACAGGTCACTGACCCCTGATCCAAAAAAGGTTCCTTTCCCCTGAAAGCACTGGAAGCATCTCAGAAACCATAACGTGTATTACAAGCACTTGAATGAACTTTGACATGCTTTTAAAGGAGCAGATGCGCTGAATTGAGTCACTGTTGTCGGGACAGATGGCTATAGCTGTTCTAATGCTACACTTCTGAACTTTCGTATGATTTCTGTGAGGGGAATGCACATTTATAAATCAGCAGGGGTAGGTAGAACACACATGTTTCATTTACCCTCATCTGGATCGCAAAACCCTACCTTAATGACAGCAGACACATGGCACTATATAAAGGATACATCTTTTAAAGCAGGCAGTGGGAGAACAGTGACCCTTCCTGGGTGGATGGAGAATGTGCAGGTATATAACAACATGCTGGACAGGAGGATCCTCTAGAAAACAGAAGAAACCTGAGTCATACAAACTGACCTGAAGCCAGTTTCACTGTCTTGAGGTAAACCCCCCAAATACTAACCTGGAAATTAAACTTGCAAACCAGCCTCAGAGCAGTTTGGTGGTTAATATAGCACAGAGAGTCTGTACACACAAACTGAGCTGAGAAGAACCTGACAGCTTGTCTAGTGAGGAATTTGCTGCAACACAGCTTCCTTGATGAGAGACTGACAAGCTAAGCAGCCTTGTAAAATGAGAGTCAGAGGATGTAGCGAATATGCTGGATTTGCCATAATCTTGTTAATCTGGTTCGCAATATGTCTGTGTCTAAAAAGACTAGGAGTGTTTCATCTTAACCAGTTCCTCATTAAATCCAGCTAAATTTGGAATAGATTATAGTTATTTTTCAGACAGCGAGAAAAAGAAACAGACCCATCTTCTGAGTGCAGGCGAAAGAAACAGTCAGAGCACTTGGACGTCCTGCTCCATCTCCTCCTCTATGTTGGACGCACGTTCAGAGCAGACTTCTATTGTACCTGTCTTACCAACGGGGACAAATAGCAGCAGTGAATATAGGAGCCTGGGAAGAAAAGATGGTTTTGTGGTAAAGGTGCGAGCCTGGAATGGACAAGATGTGCAGTCCTTTCCCAGTTCTGCCACACATGTCCTGTAAGACCTGGGGCAGACCAGAAAGGCCCAGGACCTCAAAGGTATTTGGTATCTACAGAGTTATGCAGAAACCGAGCAGTGGTGCCTAAGTCCCAAGATAAGCCACCTAAACCCTGACACTTCCCCGCAACTAATGCACTATGTTCATGCCAAAGCCCCAAACCTAGGATTCTCACAAGCATAGGTGAGCTCAGAGTACATCTGATACCTACAGCAGCAGCCACAGCAGCACCACACACAGGTCTCTCTTATGGGTGCTCTGCAGTCCCTGGACTAATCAAAGACTGCTATTAGTGCAGGAAATAGGCTATTAAACCTATTCAGCAGCTTAGGTAGCTCATGTCCTTGCAGCTGAAATCATCTTTCTCTTGCTCGCATTTCATGCCTATCTCCTAACTCTGAAGGCTAAGATCAAGTGTGGTGTCTGTGCTTATCAATTTAATCTCTGAAAATGGTTCACAGCGAATAATCACAGGCACCCTGTCAGCCAGGTGGATCAGGTTTATCCTCTGCACATTTCCTTTCCTGGCCATTTTTCTCAGTGCTTCCGAGCCTCTCCTGGCTCGTTTAGCTGGCTCCTTAGCCAGCTGACTGGCTTCTGGAAATGCTTTCCTTAGCACTCAGACTCCCCTCACAATGTGTGGGCGAGACTGGTGCCTAAGTCAAAGCTGAGGCTTCCATGAGGCAGCAGGTCACTCAGGGATTACACATTGCAAAGCTTAGGGGAGCAAATGGGATGTGATTTTGAGCAGTGGTTCTCAGCCAGGGGTGCATGTAGCCCTGAGGGTATTCAGAGGATGCAGCGACTCAGTGAGGTACCTGGCTGGGTTAAAACAGGCATGCCATCCCTAGGCCAGAGACGTAAGAGGAGAACTATTTCTCCACCCAGGCTCTGCCCTTCCCCCACCTCTGCTCCCTCCCACTCTGCTCCTTCCCACAATCCTCTGCCCCACCCTCCCTGCCCTCAAATCTCCTCTCCCAAACAATGCAGTCTGATGGAATCAGCTGGGGTCTGGCCCATCCCTTGCATTCACCTGCAGCCGTGGGAAGCGGCAAGACCTCCCCCGCAGCCCGCTCTGCTTCCTGCCACTGAGTGTGGAGGTGGACCCAGTTCCTGCTGCTGGCTCCAGGTTCCCCCAGGTCACTCCAGGCCCAGGATAGTTACCCCTAAACCATCCTACAGATAGGACGACTCTGACAACAGGCTTCATAAAAGGTACTAGCAAACTACAAATTTAATGCTGACAATGCCTTGTTTATACTGCTCTATATATTATACACCGAAATGTAAGTGCCATATTTATACTCCCATTGTTTTCGTTTATAATTACATGGTAACGATGCGAAAGTCAGCATTTTTTCACAATGTGCGGTGACACGTTTGTATTTTTATATCTGATTTTGCAAGCAAGTAGTTTTTAAGTGAGGTGAATCCTGGCGTATGCTAGACAAAGCAGAGTCCTGAAAGGAGTACAGTAATCTGGAGTGGTTGAGAGCCACTGCCTTTGAGGCTCTAGGCCGTATGCTCCTAGCCCTGGGCTACAATGAAATGTAGGTCAACGTTGCCGTGTCAGGCTGGCATTGCTATGGTGTTCAGGGATGTGGATTTTTCATACTCCTACGTCCCTATCCCAAGTCTAGCTGCTGCTACATCAACAAAAGCCTGTTGTTGGGGAAGGCGGTGTTCCTAAAATTCCATTGGGATAGGCAGCAGCCCTGCTAAGGAATTATGCTGTCATAGCTCAGGCAACATAACCATACCCATGTACTTCCTTAACGTTGACACAGTCTTAAGTGCCCAGCTGTAAAATGGGACTAGGACTACTTCTGTACCCCTCAGCTGTGCTGTGACGCTAAGTATATTCATATTTGTTGGGAAGTTAACACTAGACAGTCGGGGTGACAGTGGAGACAGCCCAACAATGGCTGCCCCACCACACACACACACACACACACACACACACACACACACACACACCAGGCGTCAAGGGTTCTCCCTGGCAGTTCACAGAGATGCCATCACATACCAAAAATGGCCTCGCTCTCTCGCTCATCCTGTATCTATCCCCATGGGAGGGTGTAACGTGCAGACTCCTCAAGCGCAGCTAACACAGGTATGAATAGTTGTGGAGTTTGTGCGGCTGTGCTTAGGCAGGTAAAGACATGCCAAGCCTTTAGCACCTGTGCCCCATGTGGCTCTCTGCACATTCAAGTGGTGCCTGTTTTCAGCAGTGTCCTATGCTGCTGCCTCCATCCTTCCCCAGGCTCCTTCCTAGAGGCAGAACCAACCCCACCGGACTTTGGTCCCTTTTCCAAGATCCTCCCTACCAGATCTAAGGATTCTTGCAGCTATTTCCACTTGCAACATGGTGACGTCAGGACTTAGGTAACTGTTCACTTGCCCACTGGCAGAAATTTAGGCACCTAGCGGAATTCACCAATGGATATTTATGCGCCTACAGTGCTAGCCAGCTGCTGAGCAGTAACCTTGCAGGTAAATCCATGTAGTTTTGGTATGAGAAACCTAATGCACACTCTTTTCTGCAGGGAGAGGGGTTTTAAACAGATGTCTAGAAATTGAATATGCAAATCTGGGAGGTCAAAATTTGGACCTAGCAGCCATCACTGAGTTGCTGTAACTGTGCATCTGCATTTTGGGCTTTATGAAGGCAGCATCCAAATATCCTAACAGGAGCAGCCGCTCCCTAAACCTCCATCTTATCTATTTTATTAAAATAAAAAAAAATGTAACCCTGCTAAAAGAAGAGCCACAACGCTGCACACACTTCAGCCCCAGGGAGAGGTTGAGGGAACAAACTGCATGTGACAGATGCCTGGTCATGTTATTTACTGATGTACTTGGCAGGTGCTCAAATACAGTGATGGGTGCTGTATACGAACCTATAAAGAATAGACATTCAATTATAGTTTATTCTTGGGCCCTATTCTGTAGTCTACAATATTGGAAACCAACCTGGGAGATTAGATTCCCTCTGTACCACCCTAAATAATTAAACTAGGTGCAGTGAGAAAGAATTAATAAAGTTGAGGCTGAAGAACAGGACAATATTTCCCAATAATGAAATGTGTTTGCTGATGATATTGCCTTTAAGAGGTAGGGTTAGAAGTCCCAAACCTTAGGACTTTTGACAAATGAACTGTAGAGAAGAAATCCTGCAGGGACAGGGAGAGAGAACCCAAGAGGGTTGTTCCATCTCTAATTTCTAAGCCCAATTCTGGGACACAATGTGTGACCAAGATCCAAAATGAGGAACACAGATTTATTCAAGCAGGAAACTCAAAATGCTGTGGGATTCATTCTTTCAGTATGAACAACTTTGTCTATAACCTCAGTTTCATGAGTCTTTGCTTCTGGTGTAATTAATTTTCAACAACAAAAGTTGAGAAGTCATCAAATTAGCACAGCAGGTACATAACTTTGGGACTGAAATGAGCGACAGCCCTTGAAATGAGGTTATTGGAGAAGAATGCATCTATGACTCCTAATATTACACTCAGAAATATCAGAGGGGTTCTTCTTTCCCTTGCTGCGCTGTCTCCTTTCATTACTGAATGTCCAATCACAGACCCATCTGCCATGCTAGTGAATCCTTTTATCTCAGTTTTCTTATCATCTGACCATTTCTGGCTCATGCTAAGAATGGTGCCATGGTTCCTAGGATACATCCAGACAGCAAAAAGAGACCCAAAGCAGCCAGTCTCAGAGCCAGAGACTTAAGAACATAAGAACATAAGAATAGCCATACTGGGTCAGACCAAAGGTCCATCTAGCCCAGTAGCCTGTTTGCCGACAGTGGCCAGCACCAAGTGCCCCAGAGGGGATGGACCAAAGACAATGATCAAGCAATTTGTCTCCTGCCATCCTTCTCCAGCCTCTGACAAACAGAGGCCAGGGAAACCATTTCTAACCCCTGGCTAATAGCCTTTTATGAACCTAACCTTCATGAAACTATCTAGCTTCTGTTTAAACTCCGTTATAGTCCTAGCCTTCACAGCCCCTCTGGCAAGGAGTTCCATAGGTTGACTATGAGCTGTGTGATGAAGAACTTTCGTTTATTAGTTTTAAACCTGCTACCCATTAACTTCATTTGGTGTCCTCTAGTTCTTCTATTATGGGAACTAATAAATAACTTTTCTTTATTCACCCTCTTCACACCACTCATGATTTTATATACCTCTATCATATCCCCCACACTTGGGCTTGTGCTATTGAGTAAAAATAGTAGTGTAGACATTTGGGCTTAGGCTGTACCCAGGGAACCCCCTCCCCCGTGATAGGTCTCCAGAGCCTGGGCTCCAGTCTGACCACAGACATCTACACTGCTGTTTTCCAGCCCCATAGCCACGTCCATGAGCCCAAGTCAGTTGAAATGGGCTCTGTGTGGGGCTGCTGAAGGTCTTGTTTTACAGTGTAGACATAACCTTCAATTTGCATAGACCCATAAGCTTAGAAGGGACCACAAAGGTCATTTAGTCTAACTCCTTGCTGTGAGACAGGGCTTGTTGTATCTAATCACTGTCACAGGACCAATCCCTGTGACTATGTCACTCTGAGTGCTAACATTCAGTATCTACTAATGCAGTGTTTCTTAAACTGTATTCCGCAGCACACCAGTGTGCCACGGAGAGCAACAGAATTCAAAATGGCCACCCTTAAAGGAGCAGGTAACCTTTTTTTTCTCAATAATTTTTCCCCGACCCTTTTTTCCCCTCAATAACTTCCCCACCCCACCCCAACCTTTTTTTTTTTTTTTGCGCTCAACAAAAAAGCGTTGGTGTTCCTCATAAAACAGTTTTTTGTTTAGTATTCCTCAGTCTTAAAAGGTTTAAGAAATACTGCGGTAGTGACACAGGGCAATGTTCCACAGTCAGTACTAAGGGTATAGGCTGCTTTGATAAATCTGGCTGGACACAAGGAGACTACAGGCAGTCCCCGGGTTACGTACAAGATAGGGACTGTAGGTTTGTTCTTAAGTTGAATTTGTATGTAAGTCGGAACTGGTACATATTGTAGGGGAAACTCTAGCCAAACATTTCTCCAGAGCTCAGTTTTATTCTCCCACACCTCACTTCCCTCAGGGTATTATTCTCAAACTGAGGTGTCTGCTGAGAAAAGCTGCTCCGCATCTCCCTGGTCTGCTGGGGG